CAAGCACACGAGTAATCAGTAATGTTTCGGGTTGGGTCGGGTATTATGAAAAACCGACCCGTTGACACCCCTATAAATCACAGAACTAGAATTATGATCTACTTTACTTTACATATTTAGATTATGTAACTGCCTCTATTAGTAAATTACTCTTACTTTTACATAAAATGCACGCATATAAACGATTTTTAATAAAGTTTCTGTCTCCCACACTATTGCAAAATTACAGAAGAGTAATCACCCTTTAGCCCAGCCCCACCTGACCCGAAACATTACACATGTGTGCTTGGCCCAATCCAACCCGAAACTCGACCATTTTGTGATTTTGATGTGGGCTCTTCCAAAACCGGTGTCTTAGCCTCGACTACGACGGACTTGGTTTAGGAACAAGTTTGGCTTAAGTAGGAACAAGTCGTATTTTAGTCTCATAAAACTTTCCCTTTGTTTTGTGTTCTTGTTTGCTCTGTTCCGGGTTCGGCGTTCGGCGCAATCAGATAAATCCAAGCAGATCTTATAAAACTTTGCCTCATGATTGAATTTCAATACATTTTTTCTTTTGGCAATAGTTGTTGCCCATTTAGATATCTCCCCTCACGACAAGAAAAATTGCCTAATTAATCTTTAAATTCAGTTTTAAACTTTTCAATTTTGTCAATTTTGTTCTAAATCTCTGCGTGAAATTTGGATGCAGTCCTTTTGGTCATTTTTCACCGAAAATCGCTGATATGACGGTTTAGTCATCATAAGCCGTTCTACGTTGTATATTGCCACATTACTGATTTCCAGCAAAAATTAGCCGGAACGGCCACATTGAAAGTTTACGTAAAGGTTTAAGACTAAATTTCCAAAATTGAAAAGTTTAGGACAAATTGGTATCCATACAATGGATTTAGGACGGTCCAAATACACACAACAAAATTACTCAATCCAACCCTGGCGATATGCTCTGTGATAATTATGAATACTTGAACTTCATTCAATGAGGTGTGTATTGAATGACTTTTATTTTTATTTGTTTAGTTTACCTTTATAAATCTCATGGCATACACTTTGATTTTGTCGTAAAATTTTCACATTGTACAAATGTTAGACATGTAAATTCATCTATAATTTTTTTTATTTTTTTAATGTTTAAATAATATTTTAGATTTTGACAGAAATGTACAATATTGAGTCTACTACACATCGATAATATCTGTAAGAGTGTCCACATTTCGAGCTTACGTACATGACAAACAAAACACACATTACTTTCACGGAGACCCCAACTACATAATTTCATGTATAGCATATCTCCTACAATTCACAACGTAAAGTTGAGACTCAATAGCTAGTGAGACCCCCAGGTAAATGTCTTTGACGTAATGACATCCTTGTTTATCTCAACTAACATGAACTAAAGTATACATTGGTTATCAAATCATTTCATTTTTTGGGGGTCTTTTCTCTTTGGTTTAAGCATGATTTAGGAAGATCACTCTACATTACCCGAAAATGTGCTAAAGTATGATTTAGGAAGATCACTCTACATTACCCGAAAATGTGCTAAAGTACACACATGTTATCAAACATTATAAATGGGTCCTACCAAATTAGTTCAGAGTTCGGACAACTAGCCAAGCCCGACCAACAATGTTACTATAGTGAACGATTTAATAGACTTTTCCCGGGGACTGTTATCATCCGCTTGGTTAATATCAACCATTGGTCCATTACATTATTTAACACGTCGATGTTGCAGATCCAACTTCTTATGTATTCATGACTACTAAAACGCTAAAAATTTTGGATATGCAATAATTCCTTTTAGGTGTTGGCAAATTAAAATATGTTCATTTTGGATGTTCCAAACTTACTTGCACGCTCTACTAAACAAGAGAATAGTTTATGGGTTGGACATAGGGTTGGCATGACTGACTAGTTACGTGTCTCATGCGATACGCATCCTATCCTGTTTAGTGCTTAGATTCTGGAGTCATTTGATTTCAATTGATTTGTTATATCATGTGTCAGTGTTGCATGATGTAAACATCACATGAAATATATCTGCTCTTACAAAGTAAACTCATCCGACATCGCCATTGACCTCCTTCGAGTTACACAACACCACCGTGCGGCGATCCTCCCTCTCTATGTTTTGTGGTAACCGCCTAGAGTCCGAGTCCTCCCCTCTAATTTGGAAGCTGTGCATGTTTCAGAGAAACCTGTTATCACCCAATAACTTGGAAGAGATTCATTTTCCTTTTTTTTTTAAATAATTTTTTTAATGTTCTTTATTTTATCGTGCCGGTGGCTGCACATCTTATACCCCTAATTCTCTATGTGTTTTTGTTTTCCCTAGGAAAAGAGTATACCTTCTATAAGTTTTACATTCCAATGATCCTGAATTCTCGAGATGAAGCCTTTTAAAGACTTGCTTAGATCCGATGTGTTAGAAAAAGTAGCATGTGGGACAGCATACATACATAGAAACCTCCTCTATTCTTTCGTCTCTTGTTGGTTTCTTCTCAATACTCTCTCAGCTTTCATAATATCTATCACCCTCTTCTGCATTCTCTCTCTCAAGTCTCCGACATGGGGAGAACTAGCTCATCATCATCCTTAGGAACTGCATCTCCATGTCCCGGGTAAGTCCCATTCTTGAAAAGTTTGCCAACATCTGAATTAACTGAGCTATGCAATGGAATTCAAGCATCGATCATGAGAAGAAAAATGATGCATGGGATTGAGATATAAGCACAACAGAAGGGGAAGAACATAACCACCATGCATATATTCACTTCTCTCCTGCTCATCTGTGTTTTATTTCGTATTGTGTTTTGAAGATCCAGATGTTTAAATGTTTCATTTGAACAATCTCAAACTTTCAACACCATAAGCTCCTATTCCAGCACTTTTGATGAATCCTAGGACTTTCAACTTCTGCTTCTTCGCCCGGAAAAGCAAAAGTACAAAAATGCCTTTTTGGACCTGAACCATTTGATCATCCTTCATTTTTGTTGTTGGGCCAAAATTTGAAATTCTACAGTCCTTTTAATCAACCATGTGAGTCTACTATATCGATAGTGAATCAAACTATCAATGTTGATAAAAAATCAACATCTATATCAATTCAAAAATATTAGACATTGCGCATTGTGCTGAATCTACCTTTATCTTCTATTTTCGACAACACTAAATACAAATAATTTCATATTTGGGCCATCTTCCTGGGTTTAGACTTGAGTCATACGCATCCATGATGTTTGTTATATATTTCTGTGGGCCGAGATCTATGGAATTAAGGTGCCCTTTTTTGTTGTTACAGTAAAAAGCCAAACCCATTTAAAACAGTTGGAATCATGCGTGATTGACAATTGTAAAATTATAGTTTGTGGGTTAATTCCAAAAAAAAACACCAACTTTAGATCGAAGGATAATTTTGGCCCGAACTTTTTTTTGTCACATTAAAAAGCACCAACTTTAGGTCGAAAGACAATTCTGGCCTAAACTTTTTTTTGTCTCGTAAAAAAATACACACTTTAGGTCGAGTGACAATTTTGGCCCGAACTTTTTTTTGTCTCATAAAAAATCACCAACTTTTACCCTGATCCCAAATCTAGCCCCCCCGTTAACTTTCTGTCTAAATTCACCATTGTTTGAGAAAAAAGGTTATGGTGGTGAGTCTGACGAATCTCGTCCATGGCGTCTGTCGACGGGCGGTGGTCTACAGCTTCAGATTACAACAAAATGATGAAGTCTGGCTAGAGAGATTCAATCTAGAGATATTTTTGACTTGCCGGTGAAGTGAAGAAGACGAATAGTTTCACCGTTATTCTTCAAGTTGTGGTTCAGAAAATAAGATAATGAATAGTGCTTTAAATTTAGTTAGCAAGTCACGTAGATTTATTGCTAAGGTGGAATAGTCAAGTTGGATAATCAAGGATTTTAAGTCAACAGGGGGCCATATTTGGGATCAGGGTGAAAGTTGGTACTTTTTTACGAGACAAAAAAAAGTTGGGGCTATAATTGTCACTCGACCTAAAGTGTGTACTTTTTTACGAGACAAAAAAAAGTTCGGGTCAGAATTGTTCCTCGACCTAAAGTTAATACTTTTTTTATGAGACAACAAAAAGTTCGAGTCAAAATTGTCCCTCGACCTAAAGTTGGTGCTTTTTTTTGGAATTAACCCTATAATTTGTCTAATTGAATATCTGTCAAATTGAATCTATACACAACCATTGGCCCATTATTTTAGTCTAAATGCATGGAACTGAGATTAACATCATAGTCTTTCATTTAACGATTTATGTTCACTATGACAAACGTGCGTTTGACAGTTAGCTGTGAATACTGAATAGAAAGTCTTTTGGGCAAGTGTTTTCCTTTTCATCATCATTTTTGCAGCAAATTCCACCCCTTTTGCTATGACCGAGGTAATCTCGTAGACGAGTACATGGCCACCAAAATTGCGTGATATCTGTTTTTTTAAGTAACCTTTCTTATTTTATTTCACTCCACCGTGAAGTAGTTCAACTATGTATCCCTGCCACTCTGTATATAGTATATGCACATGTATACAATAGAGTCTATGTACTTTCACTTCATTTGACAACAATCTGAAACTTTTAGTAATCATTTATGATAACAATGATAAAATGAAAAGTCTTTGCGGTGGGGTAGGTCAAACATTGCAAATTTATACAATAAAGTATATGTACTTTCACTTCATTCGACAACAATCTGAATCTAGTAAAGATGGTATTGCATTTATAAGATACCTCGTCTTGACACATGTTACTTTGTTCGCTCAATTATTACAAATATATAGTTAGGTAATTCCTATGTTTGATATAAACATAAGGTATTCATTAAATTATGAATTGTTCATGGTCGTAATAGTCAAATATTCCGATTCATTGTGACTAGTTGTCGAATTTATTTGGATTCCACCGTTTTTTGTGCCATTTATGTTCTCTCTCTTACCGGTTAACCACCATAATTAAATTGCTGTCGAATATATGACAGATGATCAAGAAGCCAAAGAACAGAACTCATCCCACCCCACAAGCATCATCACCAATAGTCAAGCAACGATAACCCCTAAACCCATGAACTTCTTGTGGTGGATTAGAGTGGCTCTCTACTCACTCTTTGTGCTCTCTGGCCAATCGGTGGGCACGCTCCTTGGGAGGCTCTACTACACCAAAGGAGGCAGCAGCAAGTGGCTTGCCGCATTTGCCCAGCTTGCGGGCTTCCCAATCCTCCTCCTCCTCTACTTCATCCCCACACCCAAACAACCAAGTGACCCTAATAACCCACAAATCCAAATAGATGCACAAGCTCAATCTCAATCACAATCAACCCCTCTCAAGAGCCTTGCCCTTGCGTACATCTCTCTTGGGACACTTGTGGCCCTAAATGGCTATTTATACTCAGTTGGCCTCTTGTACCTCCCTGTCTCCACCTTCTCCCTCATTTGCTCCTCCCAATTGGCCTTCAATGCCCTCTTCGCCTTCTTCCTAAATGCCCAAAAGTTCACCCCCTACATCACAAACTCCCTAGTCCTCCTCACCATCTCCTCAGCCCTCCTTGTGTTCCAATCAGATTCAGAAGACCACAAGGGGGTTTCCGCAGGGAAATATGCACTAGGGTTTGTGTGCACCATTGGGGCATCAGCTGGTTATGGTCTTGTCCTGTCCTTGACCCAACTTTGCTTTAGCAGGGTCATAAGGAAGGTGACGCTTAGGGCAGTTTTGAACATGATCGTGTACCCATCTTTATTGGCTAGTGCGATTATTGTGGCGGGGTTGCTTGGGAGTGGTGAGTGGGAGCATCTGGGGAGAGAGATGGACGAGTATGAGCTTGGCAAGGTGAGGTATGTGATGAACTTGGTCGGTACGGCAATTTCTTGGCAAGTGTTCACCATTGGCACAATTGGGTTGATATTAGACGCGTCGTCTTTGTTCTCGAACTCGATTAGTGTGGTGGGCTTGCCGATCGTGCCCATTTTCGCGGTCGTGTTCTTCGGGGACAGCATGGATGGGGTCAAGGTGATGGCTATGATCTTGGCCGTTTGGGGGTTCGTTTCTTATGTCTACCAATATTATTTGGATGATGCCAAGCTGAAGGCTCAAAGGACAAGCGTTGGTGGGGATGAAACTAGTGTGGGATCGGCACTAAATGCTTCGATTGCTAGGGTTGGTGAATGATTAAAGATGGTGGAGTGTTTTAGTTTGTGTTTAGCCAACTTTAAGTAGAGAGAGGTAATTTCCTACTGTAACCGTTTGGAGATAAATAACAAGGAACAGATTTGCATTTTACGTAAAAGTAAGAGCACTTTACTAACAGATGTCATTAGTCATAAACCTAAATATGCAAAGTGAAGTGGCTTATGGGATACGTTTGTTTTGTGGAAAATGAATGGTTTGGAAAATATTTTCCTTAGAGATGATCACTTGTATCGCTTAAAATAATTAGCCAATGAATTTTTTTTTTTGAAATTATTCAATTTCTGTGAAACAAGTAGAGTCATAGTTCTAGTTTTGTGATTTTTACCCGAGCTCTTTTGAAACTGGCACCTTAGCCTCGACTACTTCTTTGATCCTGACCGAAAACTATACTCACTAATTCTCTATACTTCATGCAAAATTAATTATTCATTAAATAAAATGCTTACTATGGACTTGAAGCAGGAACAAGTTTTACTTAGGAAATACATTTCTGTTTTGTTTGGTTTTGTTTGTTTTGTTCCGGGGTTACGGCATTCGGCGGAATCAGCTAAACCCAAGCAGATCCGATAAAACTTGCCTCGACATTGAATTTCAATACATTTCTCTTCTTTGGCTTCTTTTTTTGTGGCACCAACCAAATTGTCGCACATCAGTACGTCTCTCGTCGTATATGAAATTCTCGCCGTGTCTAAATAGTGACACACAAATTTATGTATACATTTGTTATATTTGTTTAATATTTGAATAATATTTTAGATTTCGACAAATTAGCCAAAAATTGAGTGTACTACATGTCGATAATATCTGCTAGAGTGTCGCCATTTCGAGCTTACGTACGTAGCAAACAAAGCACACAATACTTTTATTAGAACATCTTCCTTCTTTTTTTCTTTGGCTCCGTGAGAGTGAGGTAGTTCAAATGATAAAAGCTTCCTCTTAGACCACTGGGATGAGCTTTTGCCTCGTGTTCATTACGTAAACTTGAGACTTTTCTATTGAAAGGATAAATCTGTATGACATAATGACATCCTTGTCAATCTCAACTAATCTGAACTAAGAAGATAAGCTATCGAACCATTTCATTTTTTGGGGTCCTTTTTCCTTGGTTTGAGCATGATTTTAGGAAGATGACTCCACTCTACGGAAAAATCTACTGAAGTATCCAACATAGGTTTCAAATGAAACATTATAAATGGGTCATATTAAATTAGTTTAGAGTTTGAACAATAGTGCAGTAATAGATGAAGGAAAACGCTAGGAAGTAAGTTAAGACTGAACTATCATGTTAATATACCGAAATAAAAATAGACTCTTACTAGGGACATAATATCCTCCGCTTGCTTAATGTCAATCTATGGTCCATCACATTATTTAACACATTAGTTTTGCAAACCCAGTTTCTTATATGCACATTATTTAACACATCAATTTCTCTTTTAAATGATTAATATTTTTTCCCTTACCAAAGTAGATATTTTATCAGGTATATATGTTGGAGAAAACCTCCCCTTCATCTTTCATCTCTGGTTGGTCTCTGTCTTAACACTCTCTCAGCTTTTATAATATTGTATCACTCTCTTCTGGGTTCTCTCTCTCTCTCATCCCCGCCATGGGAGAACTCGCTCATCATCATATACAAGAACTGCAACTCCACATCGCGGGTAAGTCCAATTCTTGAAGAATTTACCAATATCTGAATTAATTGAGTTTGCAATGGAGTTCATGCATCGATTATGAGAAGCAAAATGATGAAATGGATTGAGATGGGGACAAAGGACGGGGGGAAAATAACCACCATGCATATATTTACTTCTCTCCCTACTACTCTGTGTTTTGTTTTGTTTGTGATTTGGAGATTTAGATGTTTAAATGCGTCATGTGAACAGCTAAAACTTTCAACAACGTAAGCTCATACTCCTGGACTTTGATGAATCCTAGGACTCTTAACTTCTGCTTCTTCCCCTGGACAAGCAAAAGTACAAATGTGCCTTTTTTGCAGCAAATTCCACCCCTTCTTGCACCACCAAGGTGATCTCATAGACGAGTAAATGACCAATAAAGTTGCGTGATATATTTTGTATAATTGAACTTTATTATTTTATTTCACTCTACATGTGTCGGATGAAATGTCTGCCATAGAGTATGTGTACTTTCACTTCATTTGACAACAATCTGAAACATTTGGTAATCATTTTATTAATTACGATGATAATGCCAATGAAAAGTCTTTGCGGTGGGGTAGGTCAACTTCACCCAAGATCATCAACTTGGGTAAACAACGTTGTCCTTTGGAGATGGACTTGCTTTAGTCCCCGCGTGCGATTCTATATACACGTCATGGTGATCTAGTGAAGATGGTATTGCATTTATCAATCCTAGCTGTTTTCCCAAAAAATAAAAGGTCTAGATCCTAGCAATTTCTCCCCCAAAAAAAAGAAAGTTCTACTTCTTCACACGAAGAAAAATGGTTCGAAAGTAAAAGTTTAACTTAAACACATTGTCTTGACACATATTACTTTATTTGCTCATACATTACAAATACATAATTAAGTAACTCCTACATTTGGTATAGACATGACGTACTCGCTAAATTATGAATCTGGTCATAGCCGTAATATTCGAATATTCTGATTAATTGTGACTAGTTATCGAATTTACTTGGATTTCACCATTTTTTGTGCCATTTGTACTCTCTCTGTCTTACTAATTAAAACCCTTAATTATTTTGCTATTTAATATATGACCAGGTGATCAAAAAGTGAAAGAAGAGAATTCATCCCTTCCCACCCGCACCATCACCAGTAGTCAAGCAAAAATAACCCCTAAACCCATGAACTTCTGGTGGTGGATTAGAGTGGCACTCTACTCACTCTTTGTGCTCTCTGGCCAATCGGTGGGCACACTCCTTGGGACGCTCTACTACAACAAAGGAGGCAACAGCAAGTGGCTCGCCACACTTGTCCAGCTTTTGGGCTTCCCAATTATTTTCCTTCTCTATTTTATCCCCACCCCCAAACCCCCCAGTGCCCCAGATAACCCCCACACCCAAACACACCCACAAGCTCAATCTGAATCACAATCACCCTCTCTCAAAAGCCTTGCCCTTGTGTACCTCTCTCTGGGTACAATTGTGTCCCTAGATTGCTATTTATACTCACTTGGCCTCTTGTACCTCCCTGTCTCCACCTACTCCCTCATTTGCTCCTCTCAGTTGGCCTTCAATGCCCTCTTCTCCTTCTTCCTAAATGCCCAAATGTTCACCCCCTACATCATCAACTCCCTAGTCCTCCTTACAATCTCCTCAACCCTCCTTGTGTTCCAATCAAATTCAGATGACCCCACGGGGTCTCCAGAGGGAAATATGCGCTAGGGTTTGTGTGCACCACTGGGGCATCAGCTGGTTATGGGCTTCTCCTATCCTTAGACCAACTTTGCTTTAGGAGGGTCATAAGGACGGTGACGCTTAGGGCAGTTTTAAACATGATTGTGTACCCATCTTTAGTGGCTAGTGTGATTATTGTGGTGGGGTTGTTTGGGAGTGGTGAGTGGGAGCATCTGGGGAGAGAGATGGATGGGTATGAACTTGGGAAGGTGAGCTATGTGATGAACTTGGTCGGGACGGCAATTGCTTGGCAGGTGTTCACCATCGGCACAGTCGGGTTGATATTCGAAGCGTCGTCTTTGTTCTCGAACTCTATTAGCGTGGTGGGGTTGCCGATTGTGCCCATTTTCGCGGTCGTGTTCTTTGGGGAGACGATGGATGGGGTCAAGGTGATGGCTATGATCTTGGCCATTTGGGGGTTCGTTTCTTATGTGTACCAATATTATTTAGACGATGCCAAGTTGAAGGCTCAAGGGAGGAGTGTTGTTGGGGATAAGGTAAGTGTGGGATCGGAACAAAATGCTCCATTTGTGGATTATTATAGATAATGTGTTTTAGTTTCTGTTTAACCAAGTTCGGGTAGCGAGATGTAATTGCTTGCTGTGACCGTTTGGAGATAAAACAAAAACAAGGCACAGATTAAGATGATTGAAAATGTTTCTAACAGCCTAACATGTCCGCATTAATTAAATTTCATCTACGTTGACCTGGTTGTGAATTGTATTTGAATTGGTCCGATATGCTAAACGAATTTGGACTTACGAGAGAGCCAAATTTTGGAGGATAAGAATTTGCGAAAAGAGCAAACATATAGACGGTCACCGACACTCCTGATGGCGCATGAGAGGCCCATTCACGCATGCATTCAAGGAATTATATATACACTTGGCCCCGTTAAGGCAAAATGGCAAAGGCCATAAAAAAGTATAAACTATGTCCACTGTAATACATTTACCATAAATTTTTTCGTGATACCAAAATTTCCAAACTTGTACTTGTGTGACACATTACCCTCCGTCAAGATTCTATACATGAAAACCGTTAAAAGTCTCTTACATAGAGTCCAGAAAGCAAAAAGTGTTGACATGACGCTCATGTGGTTTAAGTGAAATAAAAACGATATTGTTTTAGCTGAAAAATCATCTAACGGAACCTTGACGGAGGGTAAATGTGTCACATAGGTACAACTTCGAGATTTTTTATGTCATAAGAAAAAGTTTAGGGTAAATGTATCACAGTCGCATAATTTGAGATTTTTGATGTCTTAAAAAGTTCATGATAAATGTGTGGACGTACTTTGGAGATTTTTGTGGCTTTTTCCCAAGGCAAAATCCAAAAGTTAGACCAATATTTCTGTTCAGGAAACATAAAAGAAGGAAGGAAATAAAATTTTGGACAGTAAAGGAACAGAAACGGAAAAAGGATCTGGCTGATCAGGTGGACATAAAACGCGCGAGAGAGAAAGAAATCAAAGGGAGATCTCAGCATTATCCTCGGGCGGGGTTTCTTTCCTAAAAACGATGTATCCACCCTTGAAAAAGAGATTCAGATTCCTATGGAATCAGACCCTCTCGTGTACGTTCTCTCTTTCATGGACTCTGCATCACCATTTCTGCTTCGCTACGTTTTGATCGCTCGTTGAAGGTCTCTCGAAACCGTCCATGAGATCATCGCCGGCGCCATGGTCGAGATGTGTCCTTCACTTTATCGTTGCCAAATTGACCAATTGTTTGGAGTCGAGATGATCTTTGGTCGTAGCCGTTCCACTGGAACCGAGCCTCAGTTGGTCTAAACATGGGCGAATCTTTGCCAGTTCCTCGCGGTGATCATAGCCTCGGGGTTAGTTGATACCTTACGGACCCGGGTTGCCGTCGTTGTTCAGTTGATCAGTGTCCATACCGGTTGCTGTTCTGCATCGCGATCCTCGCTGTGACCCATCTTGAAGTTCCTGCATATTTAAAGGAGTGGAAGTCGGGCGGTGGACTTCGTCTTGCAAGAAAGAGAGAGGAAAGTCGATTGCAGGCTCTAAAAGTTGACGATTCCGTCATCGTGCAACCGAGGCATCACCAACGCAACCGAGGCAACGCCGACACTGCTGAGCCAACATCGACATGCATTACAGAGGATCCACACCGGCGTGTCCCTAACGTCCTTGGCGGACTTTGGTAGTAATCCTATTCAAATCATAGCTCGTGGAAATCTCACTGCAATGGACAATGAGGCTTTGTTTTAGCTTGCTCATGCATCCAGTATCTTCACAATTCCCTTTAACTAATCTCATATATCTTGAATAATTAATCTCATATTTCCTTGATGATAATAGATATTTATCGGGTATATATCTTAGAGAAGGTAGCATGCAGAACACATCCCTACATACATAGAAAACCTTTTCCTCTTCTTTCATCGCTCGTTGGTTTCTGTTTTAACACTCTCTCAGCTTTTATAATAGCTTCTCACTCTCTTCTGGGTCCAATCTTTTGTCCCCAACATGGGAGAATTAGCTCATCTTCGTCATCCTCAGGAACTGCAACTCAACATCGTGGGTAAGTCCAATTCTTGAAGAGCTTACCAATATCTGAATTACTCTGAGTATTGCAATGGAATTTGTGCATAAATCATGAGAAGAAAATTGATGAATCGAATTGAGATGGGCACGAAAGAAGGGGGAAGAGATAACCACAATGTATATATCCACTTCTCTCCATGCTACTCTGTGTTTTTGTTTGGTTTTGTGCTTGTGTTTTTATGTAGAAGTCTATGTATATATGAGTTTTGAAGAACCAGATGGTTTTATTCATGTGAACAAGCTTAAACTTTCAACACCAGAAGCTCCTACTCCACAGAAGGTATTGCCATTTTTGAATCCTAGCTGTTTTCCCAAAAGATAAAAGGTCGATCCTAGCTATTTTCCCAAGGAAAAAAATAAAGAACGAGTTTAGTTCTTCACGTTAAAAAGTTAGTTACAAAGTAAAAATGTTTAACTCAAAAAATTTCGAGATATGTTACTTTGTTTGCTTATATTACAAATGTATAAGTAGTTAATCTCTACTAATGCAGTCACTATATTATAAATCTGATCATAGCCGTAATTATTGCGTACTCTGATTCATTGTGGTTAGACGTTGCACTTAGATGGACCACAGTTTCATTTTTGTGCCATTTATATTCTCTCTCTTCCTTAATTAAATTGGCTATCCAATTTATGACCAGGGGATCAAGAAGCGAAGGAAGAGAACTCATCCCTCCCCACAAGCATCATCACCAATAATCAAGTAACAAGAACACCTAAACCCAAGAACTTCAGGCGGTGGATTAAAGTGGCTCTCTACTCACTCTTTATGCTCTCTGGCCAAGCGGTGGCCACACTCCTTGGGAGGCAATACTAGAACAAAGGAGGCAACAGCAAGTGGCTTGTCACACTTCTTCAGCTTGTGGGCTTCCCAATCCTCTTCCTTCTCTTCTTTATCCCCACGCCCAATCACCCTAATAACCCCCACATCGAAAAACGCCCACTTGCTCAATCTCAATCACAATCACCCTCTCTCAAGAGCCTTGCCCTTGTGTACCTCTCTCTAGGCACAATTCTGTCCTTAGATTTCTACTTATATTCAGTTGGCCTCTTGTACCTTCCTGTCTCCACCTACTCCCTCATTTGCTCCTCCCAATTGGCCTTCAATGCCTTCTTCCCCTTCTTCCTAAATTCCCAAAAGTTCACCTCCTACATCATTAACTCCCTAGTCCTCCTCACAATCTCCTCAACCCTCCTTGTGTTCCAATAAGATTCAGAAGTCCCCAAGGGGGTCTCCAGTGGGAAATATGCACTAGGGTTTGTGTGCACCATTGGGGCATCAGCTGGTTATGGGCTTATCCTTTCCTTGGCCCAACTTTGCTTTAGGAGGGTCATTAGGAAGGAGACGTTTAGGGCAGTTTTGGACATGCTTGTGTACCAATCTTTAGTGGCTAGTGTGATTGTTGTGGTGGGGTTGTTTGCGAGTGGAGAGTGGGAGCATTTGGGGAGAGAGATGGATGGGTATGAGCTTGGGAAGGTGAGCTATGTTATGAACTTGGTCGGGACAGCAATTTCTTGGCAAGTGTTTGGAATCGGCGCAATTGGATTGATTAAGGACGTATCATCTTTGTTCTCAAACTCTAATGGTGTAATGGGGTTGCCAATTGTGCCCATTCTCGCAGTTGTGTTCTTTGGGGATAGGATGGATGGGATCATGGTAATGTCTATGATCTTTGCCATTTGGGGGTTCATTTCTTTTGTGTACCAGCATAAATTGGACGTTGCCATGCTGAAGGCGCAAAGGAATAGTGTTGATGGGGATGAGGTTAGTGCAAGTTCGCCACTGAATGCTCCAATTGCAAGAGTTGGTGGATGAATAAAGTTGGAGGAGTGTTTCAGTTTGTGTTAATCCAACTTTAAGTTGGGAGAGGTAATTTTCTTGCTGTAACCATTTGGTGGAGAAAATCAAGGAACATAATAAGGAGATTGAAACTGTTGCTATTATTTTATTTCCTCGCTGTCTTTTGATCACAATAAAGTGCATTCTGTCTTTAGTGCCCATTTTGCAGTCTCATCATGAAAGTTAGGTACTTGTGCGTCGTTTGACTAAAAGAGAGAAAAAATAAAATAAATTAAAAAATTATTTAAAAAATATCTACGTCAACAGCGACCTTGCCATATAAGGTGGCCAGTGTCAACGTCAATAATATTCAGCCAAAATTAGTCGGAATGATCGAATTAACTTTAGGTCAAAAGGTTTATGATTAAATTGGCACCATTAAAACGTTTAGGACTAAATTAGCGCAAATGTAATAGGTTCATGACTTTTTTGACACTTTACCTATCTTGCAACTCAATTGCTGATATCTCATTATTATGTGAAAGTGAGGTTTTCCGCTGAGGGTGGACAAAAAGCAAAATTATTCCTTTTTATCTTTACCATATTAATTTAATTAGGGACAAATAGGTCCACGTCATATGACGGTTGTTTAGTTTTGTTTTTTCTTGGCTCAGGGAGATTGAAAACTAAGGAAGCCCAATTGATAAAGCTTCTAATTAAGGATGAGCTCAAACTTTAGTTTTTGTCCCAATTTTACCTTTTGTTTCATAAAAAACCTTTAGTTTTAGGTCATCTCCCAATTTTACCATAAACTTTTTTTGTTCTATAAAAAACCCTCAACTTTAGATCCAAACCCAATTTTACCCTCAATTCTTTTTTGTCTCATAAAAAACCCTCCAATTTTACCCTAAACTTTTTTTTTATCTATAAGAAAATCCCAACTTTAGGTCCAATTTCAATTTTACTCTAATTTTTTTTGTCTCATAAAAGATCATCAACTTTTAATTGAGTCCCAAATATCCTCTCCATTAACCCTCCATCAAAATTGCCTTTAGTGATTTTGCGCTCGTCGATCTCTTATGCTTAGGAATGTTCCATCTTTCGCGGTTAGAGAGCGCTCGAGACGCTCAAACAGCTCGTGCTTGAGAGTTTTCCATCTCTCGGTTTGTGACTCAAGTAAAAGTTTGTGATTTTTTATGAGATTGTAAAAATTTTAGGGTAAAATTGGGACTGAACTGTAAAATTCGGACAATACCTAAAGTTGGGAGTTTTTTAATCGGACAAAAAAAAGTTTAAGGTAAAATTGGAACATGACCTAAAGTTGAGGGTTTTTTATGGGACAAAAAAAAGTTTATGGTAGAATTGGAACTGGACCTAAAGTTGAAAGTTTTTTATGAGATAAAAGGTAAAATTGGGATAAAAGTTATAATTGGAGGTTTTTTAGGATATTAGGCCTAATTTAATTAGGGACAAATAGGTCCACGTCGTGTGACGATTGTTTAGTTTTAGTTTTTTTTTTTTGGCTCAGGGAGATTGAAAACCAAGGAAGCCCAATTGATAAAGCTTCGTCTGAGGGATGAGCTTTTGCCTAGTCATGCTGTGGTTTGACATTTCATAACGTAAAGTGGTGGTGACTCAAGAGCTAAGGAGATCCCCTTTATATTAAAAAGATAAATCTGTTTGAAATAATGACATTCACAAGAACTAGGAAGATACTATCAAGATCATTACATGTTTTGACGTCTTTTTCCCTTGGTTTGAGCATGACTTTAGAAAGACCACTTTATTTTACCCAAAAATCTACTAAAGTATACGCATAGGTTTCAAATCAAACATAATAAATGCGTACTATCAAATTAGTTCAGAGTTTGGACACAAGAGCAACTTATAAAGGGAAACGCTAGGTAATATACTTGAACAATTTAACGGACTTTTACTAAGGATTGAATATCATCCGCTTGCTTAATATCAACCTTCTGTCCATAATGTTATTTAACTCGTCAATTTTGCAGCAGTTTCTTACACACTTGACTATTGAAAAGTTGAAAGATTTGGATACAAAGTTAATCCTTTCAGATGTGATACGTCAAAATTGTTCATTTTGGACGTTCCATACTTACTTACCCTTTTTCCTCTTTTCCTTTTTTTATCCTTTCCACCCCCAACCCTCTACAAAAAAAAAAAAAATAGTTCATGGGTTTGTCACACGATTAAGATGACTGACCAATTACATTTCTTCAGTAGTATATATCCCATCTTGTTTAATTAGTGCTTAAAATTTTGAGTTCATTCTATTTTAATTAACTTATTACATCACGTGTCCCTTGTCATATAGAATATCTAGTGCTTAAAATTTTGAGTTCATTCTATTTTAATTAACTTATTACATCACGTGTCACTTGTCATATAGAATATCTAGTGCTTAAAATTTTGAGTTCATTCTATTTTAATTAACTTATTACATCACGTGTCACTTGTCATATAGAATATCTACTTTTCCATGGTAGGCTCATCCATCATCGCCAAATCTCCTTGGAGTCACATATCAAGCGCCAATCCCCTCTTCTTTGTGTTCGTGGCAATTACCTAGAATCGAATTGCAATCTTGATCCAAGATTTCCACCCTCAGACGGCCCTAGATTAGAGTGGCCTTGCCGAGAGAGAGAGATCCATGGATTAACTCACTTAAGATATTGTTTGTTTTAACCCGTCCCATACTGAGCTTCACGGTTTTGTCCTTTGGCGTATATGCATGTACTTTCCTAGGAGGTCACCCACCTTGGTAGTGTTCTAATTTGGGTGCGCTTAATTTTGGAGTTTTAAAGCAAAGCTTGACGTTATGTTAAAAGGTATATCCGTAAGTTAATTCCAATTTTTCACATGTACATCTTAGAATTGCTCATCCCTTATTCGGTGCACAGTTCAATTTATTCATACCTCCTTTACCATCCTAGAAGCCTATTAGGAACCGCTTCTTGTCTAGGTCCTTTGGTCCAGGCAACCACTCCCCATCTTCGTCAAATCGAGTCATTAGAGAGAGAGAGAGAGAGAGAGAGAGAGAGAGAGAGAGAGAGAGAGAGAGAGAGAGAGAGAGAGAGAGAGAGAGAGAGAGAGAGAGAGAGAGAGAGAGAGAGAGAGAGAGAGAGAGAGAGTTTGTGCGTGTGTGGAGGCGGCTTAATGGAGACAGAGGTGCAACAGTGGCGAGGAGCAAACAGTAACGGTGGTAGTGACACAGGAGAGAGAAAGACAGAGAAGGGGGGAGGGGATCTTAAATTTGATTTTTTCAAGGTCAATTATCGAAAAAGACAAGGGTATTAGGGTGTATTTGATTGTCTGGGTTCAGATTGTGATGAGATATGATAAAGTAGAATTAGAAATCTCTAGAATATTCTTTGAATTGTAGAAAATTCCATCATATGTTTAGTGTAACTTAGGGTACATTTATTTCACGGAAAACTCAATGATAACGGAAAATAATTTCCTGAACAGCATTTTCCAAGAAACCGGTTAATTTTCCTTTGTTTGGTAATATATGATCGAATTTGTTTTTAGATGTTTGGATTTCATTGGAATATGATTTCAATCTCATAACTTTATCTTAGGAAAAAAAATCGAATTTTTAATTTTTAATTTTATTATTTTAAAAAAATTCAAAATTTTAAATATTTTACTTTATTTTTAAAAAATCAAAATTTTAATTATTTTTTATTTTCTCTTTTCTTTTTCTTTTTCTTTTTCTTTTTCTTTTTCTTTTCTTTCCTTTACTTTTTTTCTCCTTCTCTGTCGCGACTGATCGGCTGGCGATGGCCACAAGCGAGCTCGAGGCTCCCCTGACAATGGCCACAGGCGGTCGAGCTCGCCGTCCTCGGCTGAGCCTGAGCTTGCTTGGATCTGGCGAGTTGCGAGCTCGCTGGGAGCGACTGAGCTCACACTGGCCTGTATCCCGGCGAGCTCGAATTGGCCTAGACCTGGCAAGTCGCGGGCTCACGCGAGGCCAGCGAGGGTCGAGGCTCACTAGCACAAGGTTAGGGCTTGCCGGCATGAGCTCGAGGATAGCCAAGATCTGGCGAGCCTTGAGCTCATCGGCCTTGCACGAGGTCGAGGCTCACCGACGCGAGTTTGGGGCTTACCGGGATTTGGCGAGCTCGAGCTTGCGTCGGCAAGCCGCGACATTGCGCTGACTCGCCAGCCCTGTTGGTGGCTGGCCGTCGTCGAGGCTGGTGACTAGTGGAGGGAAGAAAAAAGAAAAAGAAAAAAGAAAAAAGAAAAGAAAAGAAAAGAATAAAATATTATAAAAAATTGAGATGAGCAATTCTAAAAAATATTTTCACCTTCTTAGATTAGGAAATTCACTTTCCTAATATTATGCATGAATGTTTTACTTGATCAAAAAATGTTTTCCATTGACTTATCATTTTCGACGAACAAAACGAGTGAAAGTCCAGAAAACGAATTCTCAAAAAAAAAATCTCTCAAACAAACGCACCCTTAAGATAGGATTGAGAATCTTTAAAAACCCTCTCTCTCATGACGTTCTCGTACAACAAAGGAGGCAACAGCAAATGGCTTGGCACACTTGTCACACTAGCAAGCTTTCCCATCCTCCTTCTCTACTTTGTCCCCACACCTAGAAACCCCAATAACCCCCACATTGAAACACACTTACAAGCTCAATCTCAATCCCAATCATCCTCTCTCAAGAGCCTTGCCCTTGTGTACCTCTCTCTAGGCACAATTGTGGCCCTATATTGCTATTTATACTCAGTTGGCCTCTTGTACCTCCCTGTCTCCACCTACACCCTCGTTTGCTCCTCCCAATTGGCCTTCAATGCCCTATTCTCCTTCTTCCTAAATGCCCAAAAGTTCACCCCCTACATCACCAACTCCCTAGTCCTCCTCACAATCTCCTCAACTCTCCTTGTGTTCCAATCAAATTCAGATGACCCCAAGGGGGGTCTCCGAAGGGAAGTATGCACTGGGGTTTGTGTGCACCATCGGGGCATCAGCCGGTTATGGTCTTTTCTTGTCCTTGACCCAACTTTGCTTTAGGAGGGTCATAAGGAAGGAGACTTTTAGGGCAATTTTGGACATGCTTGTGTACCAATCTTTAGTGGCTAGTGTGATTATTGTGGTGGGGTTGTTTAGGAGTGGTGAGCGGGAGAATTTGGGGATAGAGATGTATGCCTACGAGCTAGGGAAGGTGAACTATGTGATGAACTTGGTCGGTATGGCGATTGCCTGGCAAGTGTTTGGGATCAGCGCAATTGGGTTGATATTAGACGTGTCGTCTTTATTCTCAAACTCGATTAGTGTGGTGGGGTTACCGATTGTGCCCATTTTCGCAGTTGTGTTCTTTGGAGAGGGGATGGATGGGGTCAAGGTGATGGCTATGATCTTGGCCATTTGGGGGTTCGTTTCTTATGTGTACCAACAATATTTGGACGATGCCCAGTTGAAGTCTCAAAGGAATATTGTTGGTGGGGATGAGGTTAGTGTGAGATCGCCACTAAATGCTCCAATTGCAAGAGTTGGATAAAAGTTGGTGGAGTGTTTCAGTTTGGGTTAAGCCAAATTTAAGTAGAGAGAGGTAATTTCTTGCTGTAATTATTTGGAGTTGAAAACGAGGAACATAATAAGAAGATTGAAAATGTTGCTAATGTTTGATTGCTTCACTGTGTTTTAAATTCAAGAAAGGACATGCCGTCTTTAGTGCCCATTTTGCAATCTCATATGAAAGTTAGTTACTTATGTGTCATTTGACTAATATATAGTACTATCTAATGCAAATAATATTCGGATTATATTATTAAACATGGGACAAAGGAGATACTTAAATTGCTTCGTACGCAAAAAACTAAGGAGTTGACTAAAGTTCTGTCAGTTATCTCCGATCCTTTTTAAGGTAGGTAAGGCAATTAGGGGGATGCTCACCCTGAGGTTGTAGTTGTTACCTTAACCTCTGCAGTCACTACTACTTAGGGGCGCTCTTGACCAACCCTACTAGTGAGTTGACCAAGAGTATACGAGCCTTATTTTACGCCCTAGGCGACCGAACAACCCTGAGCCCCCTGTTCCCCCTGGATATTTATCTTTTCCCAAAGGGATGGAATATCTTGCTAGGGTTTTTATATCCCCAAAAGCCTAAATGAGAGACTTTAGGAGGTGAAACTTTTTAAGGACATTCTCATATTCAAATTCTTCAGTTATATCTGATCCTTTTTATTTTCTTGTAAGACTTAGCAGCAGGTGATTTTTTTTTTCCATTTCATTAGAAGACAAATTGCATATGTCCTACCGATTGATTGAGCATACTATTATAAATTATTGAAATCATACGAACTTCCGAAGTTTCAGGACCTTCAATCGTTATTTTGGACTTCCATTTAGATGAAAACACTCTTGGAAAACATCAATAGAAGAAAGAGAAAAAGAAAAAGAAAAAGAAAAAGAAAAGATCAATGGTGCTTTTCGGCTACTTTTCGTTGATTGCAATCGAAATGGGAGAAGTAGCCTAAGTAGGACTGACGTAGTGGAGATGCAATCGAATTTGAAGATTCGATAAAATGCAAGGAAAATGAGAATGTGACAACAATCCGTCACTTTTATTGGAGCGATGAAGCCTTCATTATCCTGTTTCAAGGGGAAATGAATTTCAAAACATGAACTTTGTATTAAAAAAAAACTAAGTAGGGTTTCTCAAAAAAAAAAATTTAATGTGTGAATCAACAGCTTATATTGCATTATTTACAAGGGTTGGATGTCCCCTTTCCAATTACTAGATTTATTTACATGTAAGTGTTGATATCAATTTGGGATGGCTAAGTGTGTTAGCGCGTGTTAAAATCTTGCAAGACGCCCAACAAGAATTTTTTATTTTATGAGTACATTAAAAAAGGCCATACGACGTTTCGTCATAATCAAGCATTCATTTTTGTCTTTGGGCAAAAAAAAAAAGTGCAGAGTTTTTTGTACTAACCATGTGAGTCTCCTATATTGATTCATTTGTTTCTGTTATTAATGCAACAGATCTCTGGGTGTTAGGTGTCCGGTGTCCGGTCTTTGGTACGTGGTCCAATGAACAGCCTTTCTTTTAACTCTTATCTTTGCTTTTATGCAACTTTCTTATCAATAGTTGATATTTTGTATGAACTTTAAATAAATTATTTTTAATAAATGATCTGACACGACATGATTTAACTCAAAACTGATAGGATTGGATGGGTTTTCACACTATCATTGCCGACCAAAGCTCGACATCTATAGCAGTTGGGACTAAAAATTAAACATGATGCATTATGCTTAAATTAGTTGGGACTAGAAATTGGACCTACCTTTAGCATCCGTTTGCTTTTAACCAAATGAATGATGAGGCCCCCTTAACTGATGGCTTTTAGTAGGGAAAAAAAGTTGCTTTAGTAATTAACTAAGGTTTTAACATATGTAAGATTAGGCCACGACACAGACTCGATTTTCGACAATGCTAAATACAAATAGTTTTATGATTGGGCCATCTCCCGAGTTCAAACATATGCTAAAGGTAGGCTTTATAACACATGCTTTTAGTAAGCACAGCCATGATTTTCATTAGATTTCATGGTTGACGTTTATGGAAGTAAGGTTGGCTTTCTAGTAAAAAACTGAATTCATTTGAAAGATTATTAATCATACATGATTGAAAATTTCAAAAATATAGTTTGTCTAATGGAAAGTATGTCAAACTGAATTATACACAACCATTTGCGCATTATTTGAGTCTAAATACATGGAAACTAAGATTAACATCATAGTCTTTATTTGACGATTCATATTCAGCATGGTAAATATTCTATTTACAGTTAGCTTTGCCAACTGATTTAGAAAGTCTTTTGGGAAAGTGCTTTCCTTTGCATCATCATTTTTCGGCAAATTCCATACCTTTTTTGCATGACCAAGGTTTTTCGTGGACGGTTCTTACACCATCAAATGCTTTGGGGGTAATCATTCCCCCATTGCGAGAATAATGCCCATGAAGAGTCTTTGGGTGGGTGGGTCAAGTGCACACCCAAGATCATCGACTTGGTTAGACATCATTGTCGATTGGAGATGGACTTGCTTTGAGTCCCACTGGTGATTCTTATATACACGTCATGGTGAATCTAGTAAGCATTTATCAATCCTAGCTGTTTTCCCAAACAATGAAAGGTCTAGTCCTTCACGTATAAGAAAGATGGTGACAAAGTAAGCGTTTATCTCCAACACCTCCTTTTGACTTATGTTACTTTCTTTGCACATATATAGTACGGATATATAATTAGTTAATTCTACGTTTGATAAATATGTCAACTCACTAAGTGGATCTGATATGCACTCGGGTTTGTGTGCACAACTGGGGCATTGGCTGGTTATGGGCTTGACCTATCCTTGACCCAACTTTGCTTTAGGAGGGTCATAAGGAAGGAGACGTTTAGGGGAGTTTTAGACATGATTGTGTACCAATCTTTAGTGTCTAGTGTAATTATTGCGGTCGGGTTGTTTGTGAGTGGTGAGTGGGAGTATCTAGGGAGAGAGATGGATGGCTGTGAGCCTGGGAAGCTGAGCTATGTGATGAATTTAGTTGGGACGGCAATTGCTTGGCAAGTGTTCATGATGGGCGCAGTCTGCAGTCTGGTTGACATTCGACGTGTCATCCTTGTTCTCATACCCGATTAGTGCAATGGGGTTGCCTCACGGAGTTGATCAGTGTTAGATATGTCTTGAATTTTATGTACTCGATCCGATTTATTACTCGACTCGACATATTTTTTGTGCAACCCAAAAGTGAAGAAAAAATTGAGATTTGATTTGTGATGCAGAGGGTTGGGCCTCGGCCCAACCCGGAGTAAGCGAACAAATCTCTATGGCGGTTCGCCTAAGCTGGAGCAAGCGAATCAATGTCTCGGAGGGTTCGGGGGCTATGCCCCCGAGGAAATTTTTTGGGGAGCTCTATTTATACTGCGTCTAGGTTTTTTCATTGATTAAGAGAGATTTTCGTTTTGGGAGAGATCAGTGAGTCGTGAGGTTTTGTTAAATCGTTTTCGACTTCTGAAAACTGTACTCTCTTTGACTATAGTGGAATCTTGTTTTACCTCGCCCATGGACGTAGATCACCTTGTGATCGAACCACGTAAATCCTTGTGTTCTGTATTTGTTTTTCCACGTGCTTCAACAATCGGATACTGCTTGGAGGCTAATAACCGCATCTTGGTGTATCAGTTTGCCACTCAGGGCTCTTTACATGATATATTGCATGGTATGACCGCAAGGTCCGCAACCGCACCATATAACAATCACTGTTTTGACTCGAAAAAAGGGTCATATGAATCTAATTCATGGTCCTTGGGCAGGTAGGAAAGGAGTGCAAGGCGCTGAACCTGGTCCTGTGCTTAGTTGGAACCAGAGAGTGAAAATTGCGTACGGTGCCGCTAGAGGCCTCGAGTACCTGCACGAGAAAGTTCAGCCTCCAATTGTCCATCGAGACGTCAGATCTAGCAACGTGCTTCTGTTCGACGATTTCCTGGCAAAGATTGCGGATTTCAACTTGTCGAATCAGTCGTCTGACACCGCAGCGCGGCTGCATTCAACTAGGGTCTTGGGAACTTTTGGCTACCATGCTTCAGACCAAGGGTGCGTACGGTAACGTTTTTATTTGTGAGAATAATTTCTTTTTAAAAATAGTTTTTTTCTATTTCTATTTCCTGAAATAGTTTCTGAGTAAAATAATGCGTTTGGTAACTGTACAAAATTTCTATTTCTAGAACAGAAATGCGTTTGGTAACTGCACAAAATTTCTATTCCTGAAATAGAAAAAGAACAGAAATGCATTTGGTACAACCAAAAAAATTTCTATTTCCAATTTTTTTCATTCAAATTTATATCTTTTATTTAAGTGTAAGTACAAGTTATAAATGAAAAAAACCAAGAAGCATTGTTTATTGATTTGTCTAATCCTTTTTAACTCACACTACTTTATATATATATAATTATCGTAATCTTTTTATTATTCTGAATACCATATTTATCTATTTCAAAAGTTTCTTCACAACCGCTATTATAAATACTATTTATTCTCATATTAAATTACCAAAAGATAAAAAAGAATGCTTACATCTTAACCATGTGTTAGTTGTTTTTATTACCAATAAATAAACAAAACAAGAACTCATCCTACGAATGTGAAGAACTCTCTAGGTCAACATTGACAGTGCTATAATATACAACAGCTGACGTCACTAATTTTTGTCACTTAAGAAGATTATACATTTCTTTCTTTTTATGAACTCTTTCCTATGATGCATAGAATTCTTTGCCACTATATGTTGGATGTTTATTTGTAAAACAAACAAAATAATGCTCTTTCCTTTATCCCACATAGGAAAGTATTGATAAAGTGGGCCGCTTTATAACTGTGAATATCTTCTTGCTCTTTAGAGTGAAGACAATGGGGTGTGTGCTAGTCCACACAATACCCGCGTGCGGGTGCGCGAATAATTGCGCGATTTTGGCGCACTTAGCACTTAGCACTTAGCACACTTGCGCGGCCGCGGTTTAATTAGCACTAATCCCTTTATATTTTTATTTTATTTCGTAAGGTTATCTTATTAATTTTTATTAGTTGAAAGGTTGTTTTTGTTTATTAAGTAAATTTCGAAATTATGAAAATTCGGAATTATATATTTATTTATTTATTTTATTCCGAATTTTACGTGTGTCTTTCCAAGACAACTTTTTCAGATTATACCTGTTCAGTTTTCAATCTTTTCCGAAGGGTTGCATCTATTCAGTTTGCAACTTCTTCCGAAGGAAGATCTTTGTCAGCTTTGCAACCTTTCGTGAAGAGTTGCCAATGTTCTTTAAGACCGATTTCTATATATGTTAGTTTAAGGCAAGAAAGAAAACAGAGATCAATTTCTTCAAGTCTTCTTTCGAAAACTACAGCCATCATTTCTTTTGTTTCCTAGAGAGACCCTGGAGAAATACTAGAATTGCTATCTAGTATTCTCATTTTGAGACTTTGTTGTATCATGGAGGATTTTTGCAGGTGACCATTAGCAACAATTGTGGGGCAAATAAATTCTTAAGGAAAGTGATATCACGCCTCAAAGTCCGACTTGATTGCTCTTTTGATTCGAAGCCATTTTATTTTACAACACTATATATATAAAGAACATTCGAAACTCCATATACGACATTATAATAACACGTGGATGATGCCGATTTTAGTGGGCGCTTGAATATGATCCATTTGCTTTATTAATCACTTAAATAGTCACAGTAACTTTGAAAATTGATTTATATAGACATGAATCCTTAATTTTCTTATAATGATTAAGTTTACAAAATCAATTTAAATTTGATTGTGACTTATATATATATATATATATATATATATATATATATATTTACATCTTGTTTTCATCCAATAAAGTTGAACATGTAGGTGAAGGAGTAGTCTTCATTTGCAGCAAGAAAAACGTAGTTGAATGCCAACACTCCAAAGAAATTCTCTATACTCCTAGTACTAAAATATCCCATCAACTCATGCTTTGCCAAATATTCAAAGCTTGCCAAACCTCTGTTTGAAACGCTACACAGGCTTTGGATTTCAAAAATACAACGATAATAATACCTGCTAATTAACAAAATGTTGCCAAATATTTATAAACAACATAACAAAAGTCAGAAACATAAAGTCATGGAATCTCAGGCATATTGTGATTCCTTGCCATTTGATTTGCAATATTTTTCCTAAGCATGTTCATCTCAACTGCCTCCTCATGCCACTCATCTGCATCCTCCACTTGTGTAGGTCCAAATGGGTAGTCCGGATCTCCAAAGTTACCTCTGTTGCAGTAGTTTTCCAGCAAGAGGATCTAGTTGCTCTTGCTTCTCCACTTCAACTGTTTTCCCCTTCTTATCAGCTACTTTTGCCACAGACTTCTTTAGCTGCAGGTGCCTAAGCTCAACAGGCAGCAAGTACCAATTTAATCAATGCTAAGTTAATCTGAGGAGTTGAACAGAACAAGCATCACAAACAAATTTGTCCTCTATAACCCTTCCTCTTTGTTCTATTTTCCTCCAAAAACCACACAAGAAAAGACTGATAGACACAAGAAATATCATGCTTCACAGGGAGAATCCAATCAAACAAACCAAGTGCAATTGAGACAAGGAATAATGTAGCGTCCATACACAAGAAATATCATTCTTTTTTTTTTTTTTCAGTTTTAGTTAATCAAAATGAAAGATCACCATTTCTACATAATCACATCCCAAACCCACCCACAAGAAAATGCTCAACAAGAGAAGCATATATACTGTGCTTCTTATCTCATTCAAATCATTCCCCTGGAAACTTACTAATTGACATTCAGATGAGATGGACATACATTTCAAGATTAACAGGCAGCAACCTTAAGGAAAACAATAAATAGCTATTTAACGTTTTGCCTGGAGCAATAAGAAGCACAGTGGCCCATAATATTTGGAGGGAGGGATGGAGGGAAATGAAGGGAGGCCAGACAACAAAGGGAAAGTTGACACAACAGAATACCTTGATTAGCATCTAGAAGTCTTCCTTCGTTTGGAGAAACTTTTGAATCCTACAGGTAGAAAAAAACTTAGTGAATAAGGCACTCGTAAGAATTATCTTGCTCACATACAGCTAAAACAGAGTACCTTTCTTCCGGGAACAAAGTCGACAGTGGAACCTCCAGTGACTTCTACTGCAACAACTCTTGCTAGCTGAAACAGGCATTTCGCTCATAATGATCAATACTTGCAAATTGATAAATCATTTTTAATAGTAACCACTAGAATCGATCAGCTATACATAACATCATCCAACCACTAATCAACCAAAAACAATACCAGTTGAACTAGACAGAGGAGATTTCCTACAAGCAACTAAGAACTAAATGCCCAGGGGATTGAAAACAAGATAGATAAAGATTTGCTCTTAAAGCATCTGAATATGGAGAATATGTGGGTTATGCCAATTAAGGGCTTCCATACGTGCATGCATATTAGTTTTAAAGATGTTGCATGCTGGAGGGAATAAAACTTCAAAGTTAAATGGCAAGAATTCGAAGTCTTTTTCAAACTAAGCTAGTCATATCAACAGAGATTTCGTCCACCTATTGGGAGAGGCGACTCGTAATATGTAAGATGGAAGAACAAATCCTTTAAACAGTCTTTTCACCTGGTATAGATCTACGTATGTAATCTTTGGACACTTGGACTTCACCTCCTCTGCATCCAACAGAAAAGCAAATGTAAATATACTGACTGAAGTTATATCTCAACTTCATTCACAAAAAAACTTGATTCATCAAAGCTATGACATTATCCATGATGGGTTCGTACAGTTGTATAATTGAAACTCTTATAATCATAACATATCTACAGGGTAACTCAAGTAAAACATATGCAAAGGTCTTAGAATTTCCTTGGTCGACAATCATGGAAGCATTAGACTGAATACTAAACCACCCATCTTAAGCATGCTCTCATAAACTGAACATAAGATAATACATATACCTCAACTTTATGAAGACTGTAGGGATTTCTTTAAAGAAAGTATCAATGTCTAAAGCAACAACTATCTTCATGCATTCTATACTGATGAATATTGGAAATATATCTAAATTTGGTTAGATGAACCTAACACTATGCCACAAGCAAGTAACAAAAGTAAATCAGAGTACGCAGATTAAATCCCGTTGATAAGTCCAGAGTATAACGTTAAGCCAACTAAAATTGCAAACGCACTGCTTGGCCCTTCAAGAACTTGTAAGTACATAGCATCATGTTAACAAATTTGTTAACTGTCTTCGACATAAGAGACGACGCGCCCCGCACGTGTGCACTAAACATCGTAAGATGATTAAGTCAACCATTACTCATCAAATGACACAAAACATAAGCAAAAGCAACTCCTCCCACAGCAGCAAATGAAGGAAAGCTATAATTGAAGTATTAGAAGACATACGTCCATGGAAATTGGACTCTCAAATCTCCATGCACCTACATATATTTAGTATCAAACGAGCATGCAACGGGACTCGCACAATCACAACCTACAATTGCATTCTCGTCCTCCAAACTGCCGTCAATGCATGAATAGATGAACTCCAGAAACTACTTTAGGCACGGATGTCGAAGAGGAGTAGACACCGCTCCGCCAAAGGAATCAACACCGCGAAGGCAGAGAAACCTAAAGGCAGGTAGCTCAGAAAGAGCAGGGAGCGCTCACCACAGAAATCAAGAGCGATCTTCAAGCCAGCATTGGCACCGTGGGAGTACTCTTCCTTGTTCCGAATCGAGCCGTTCAGACCGGCGGTCTTCGTCCTCGCGTCGTAAGTCCCGGCGTCGTGCCACCTGCAAAGACGAATCGCCAGAAATCGCCAGACATCAGAAACCGCGGGGGCTAAATCCGATCGACGGACATCCGTCGCCGGCCAATCGAGGCGGGGACAGAACCGTAATGCGCGTACTCGGGAGCTCGAGACCCTCGAACCAGGAACGAACGCCGCGCTGGCCCTCTAGGGTATTCGGTCGCTGGCAATCTCGCGTGGGGCGTTCCAGCAAGCGAGCGAGAAGGAAGGTAGGAATTGCACCTCTACCGCGAGTGACGGGGGT